CTACCCTCTCATATTCATTCACCACCCTGCACATCCACATAGCACCATTTATCCTCTGTACCGTCTCATATATCTGCTTACCTCCGCACCCCCTTATATCTCCTGTGCCCTTTTATATCTGCATTCACTGCGCTGCACTCTCTCACATCTTCGATCACCTACACCCCCTCATACCTCTGTTCACGCCCTGTACCTCCTCATATTTCCATTCACCGCCTGTAGCCTTTTCTCGCAGCACTCTGCATTGGGAGAGACGTGCCCAGGGCTGGGCCAGCCCCCGGGATCCCTGGCAGGGGTCAGCCATGGTGGGGGTGGGAAGAGATGGGTGCATGGATGTGGCCCCCACTATGCTTTTCTGCCACTAACAGGACTAACAGCCCCATGGCTAGCAGGGGAAGTTGGGAGTGGGGACCATGTCCCCTCCTTATCGGGCTTTGTTCTGAGGGGTGGGGGATGGCCTCACCCTGGGTTTGGATCCGAGATTCCAGTGAAAGTGCCCAGAAGGGTGGGAAATGCAGATCCAACTCCCCCATGCCAACTGTCTGACCCTGGGGATCTCCTTTCAGGACTTCACCTAGGGTAGGACTACAGCCTTTCCCCCAGCCCCCAAGAGGGGTACAGCCACTGTCCTTCCTAGCCCCCTAGAGGCGTGAAACCACGGCCCCCCCAGCCTCCAGGAGAAATGTGGTCATGGTCCCCCCTACCCTGTCCCCAAGAGGGTGTGGCCACAGCCTCTGCCCCTAGAGGCCTGTCCTCCAAGCCGTCCTCCCCGCCCCCTGCCATGCCTTGCAGAGCTGGAGGAGGCACCGCTGACGGTGAAGAGTGACATGGGCACTGTCGTGAGGGTCATGCGGATGCCGGACTCGGGACTGGAGATCCGCGACCGCATGTGGCTCAAGATCACCATTGCCAACGCTGTCATCGGTGGGTGTGGAGGCACATGGGTGGGGCAGCCGGGGCAGGGGCTGGGCTGGCCCTGAGTGCTGCTGGCTGCCACAGGTGCAGACTTGGTGGACTGGCTGTACGCGCACGTGGAGGGCTTTAAGGAACGACGCGAGGCGCGGAGGTACGCCAGCACCATGCTGAAGCATGGCTTCCTGCGGCACACAGTCAACAAGGTCACCTTCTCAGAGCAGTGCTACTACGTCTTTGGGGACCTGTGTAGCAGTGAGTGGGGCCAGGGGTTGGGGGGCCAGGGGGTTGGGCCTGCCCGCCACCCACCCGCCCGGCGTGCTCATCATCCCTCTCCCTGCCAGACCTTGCAGCCCTGAACCTCAACAACGGCTCCAGTGGGGCCTCAGATCAGGACACCCTGGCCCCACTGCCCCACCCAGCTGCCCCTTGGCCCCTGGGCCAGGCCTTCCCCTATCAGTACCCGGGGCCCCCGCCCTGCTTCCCGCCTGCCTACCAGGACCCCGGCTTCAGCTATGGCAGTGGCAGTGCCGGTAGTCAACAGAGTGAAGGTGAGACCCGCACCTGGGCCACCTGGCCCCTCACTGGCCCTCGCTACCCCTACTGCCTGGCTATCCCCCTACCTCTCCCCGCTGCCCCCCGATTCCTGCAGCTCTGTGCTTGGGCCATGGGCATGGTCTTTCTGGAAGGGGCTAGGGTCAGAGTGACTGGAGAACTTGGGTTTCTGTGGCCATAGTCAGCGTATGAAGGGGGAAAGGGAAGAATCCAAGGCAGGGGCAGCCAGGTACCTCCTCGGCCTGGCTTGCGGGAGAGGGACGGGGCCCTGAAGGAGCAGGGAGCATAGGGCCAGCAGACAGCCGTGGGGGAGGGCAGTACGGGGGGCCCAGGAGCCACACAGATGAGGGGTTTTGGGGGCAGCAGAGGGCATCAAGCAGGAGTCTGCGGGGGGGCGGGGGGAGACGGTCCCTCTCTAGCCACTGTCCAGGCTGTCCGAAGGATATAGTGGTGAAGACACCGCCCCACCTGTGGCTTATGCAGCCTGGTGGGGGAGGGGGTGGGAGGGTCACAGCCGTGCTAGCAGCTGGGAAGTCAGGGAGCTGGGCAACAGGTGGGGACAGGGCTTGTTGGGGCAGAGGCCTGAGGCCAAGTGGGGGGCTGGGGGGCCCAGCTGATTGGAAGGGCTGGGGAAGAGGGGAAGGGTGGCCAAGGAAGCTGTGTGTGGAACCTCTGTGTGAGGGGTTGGATGTGGGCGTCTGCAGATCCGACAGGTCAGCAGGGTGTGCCCGGCAGTGTGGTGCCCTAGGGCAGCCGCAGTGTGTAACTCGTACTATCCCTTGTTTTGTGCTGAGCAAGCGTTAGACTGAAGCTCTAGAGGAGAGGACCCTCGGGGCCGGTAAGCCAGGGGCCCGCCCGGCATCCTTCTTGGCGTCCCCATCAGCGTGACCCTGGCCGGCCCATGTCCTCAGGGTCCCTACCCCTGGGAACCATGGACGGGGCTCCAAGCAAGGCGGGGCATAGCTGGTCAGGACCCCAGCGGGTAGGGGGATGGGTGGACCTTCGACTGGGAGCACCAGGAGGGCTGCCAGGTGCACTGGGTCCTTGACTGTGCCTCAGTTTCTCAGCTGCCAAGTGCTCATGTGGGGCTAGCGTGAGGTGTGGGGCGCTGCATGACTCCTGGAGCGTCCCCACCGCCTTTGCTACCCCCAGCTCCCGCTAAGCAGCCCCCCTACTTTCTTGGGTGGGGCCTGCCCTGTGTCTCTGCATGGCTGGGACCCCTCCCTGTGACCATCCCACCTGGAACCCCTGGCCCTGGGGGCCGGGCTGGGCCTGGCCCTGACCAGCTGTCCCTTTCCTTCCCCCTCCCCACCGTCTCCAGGAAGCAAGAGCAGCGAGTCCACCCGGAGCGCTGGTGGGAGCAGCCGGCGGGCCTTGGGGCGTGAGCAGGAGCGCCGGACAGCTGGTGCAGGGGGCAGTGGCAGTGAGCCGGACCCCACGGTATCAAGCGGGGTGGGTGGCTGGCGGGAGCGCCCAGCCAGCCAGCTCAGCCACGGCAGCAGCCCTCGTAGCCAGGCTTTGTCTGCTGCACCCGGGCTGCCTCCCCTGTGCCCCCTGGCCAAGGCATATGCAGCAGTGGGTGGGCCCCCTGGGGGGCCACCTGTGCGGGAGTTGGCCTCGGTGCCCCCCGAGCTCACGGGCAGCCGCCAATCCTTCCAGAAGGCCATGGGGAACCCCTGTGAATTCTTCGTTGACATCATGTAACTGGCGGAGAAAGTGCCTTCAGCCCTGGCCCAAGGGGGGGCGGTCTTGCCCCTTGCATGAATTGTCAGCCCGCCCACCCGCCCACCGGGGTGGGCCACCTGCCTGAGGCTGTGTGTGTGGGCTTGCCTTAGTGACGGCTGGGCCCAGGATGGCTACCTGTGCTTCCTTTGTATGGGCCGGGGGTTGGGCAGGCCTGGACAGGGGTCAAAGCAGGTGGCGTGGGAGGACACCATAGTTGGGACTCAAGTGTCCCGTCTGCTCCCAGATCTCTTCCTCTAGTGGGTGAGTGGCCCAGGTCCACGAAGACTTTAGCCAGAGCTGGGAGGCCATCCAACCTCAGGCAGGTCTGACCTGCCCACCTTGGCATGACCCCTCCACTGACTCCCCTTTGTCTGGAGGTGACCCCCAGGATGAAGAAGACCCTCCTGGTCCTCCCGCTGATCCTCACTTGCCCAGAGGCAGTGCAGGACCCTCCCTGCTCTGCCCGCCTGGCCCAGGCTGAGGGGCCTCTTGAGGGTGAGAATCAGAGCCCATCTGTAGCTGCCCAGGGCAAGGATCTAATTTATTTATTTATTGCCTAGCCCTGCACTTTGGGAAGGTGGCCACGATCAGCACCACACACACACCCCCACCCCGCCACCACTAAGAACAGATTTGCATGTTCTGGCCATCCTTCTCAGAGGTGCAAATGTGGAGCACACAGGTGGTGTCTGAAAGTGTGTGGAGAAAGGAGAGCCAGCTCAGCTTGGTGGTGGGGATGGGCAAGGGGATATAGCTGGGCCAGGATGGAGTGGGGACACGACCCTAAGGGGCAGGGGCCGGGGAGAGGGAGTGGCCCCAGGTGCCCATCCACACATTGCCCCTCTTGTGCCCCGGCCTGCACAGGCTGTGCTGTAGATACTGTATCAAAGTCCGAGTCTGGATAGTTAATATATAGCTGCTCCGTGTAAATGCTGCTTCCATGTAAATGCTATTTTAAACACTAAAAAGCGTTTAATTTTATGGGACTGAGGTGTGCCTGTGTCCCTCTTTCCTGTGGCTGCTTTAGGAGATGGAGTGCAGGGCACCAGTTAGCGCCCCCTGGACCCACGAGAGCTGACCCCAGGCCTCAGCCAGCCTGGATGCATGCGTGCCAAGCTAGGTCCCGGGTGCTGGCCACTGCCGTTGTCCTGGCGGGGGCGTTGTCTGTCAGTGGTGCTGACTCTTGCCTTCAGGGGTCCTGGTGGCTGGCGCTGGCCACTGTGCTGACCCCCACTGCTGGGGCTCTGTCCGAGGTACTGGCGTCTGCCTGCCCCTGCTCCACTCTGTAGGTCCTGGGAAGAGGGGGAATCTGGCGCCACCCCTCCTCTGAGTGACTTCTGCCCTGGGACCCAGGCCGGCAGCCTGTTTCACCAGCTTTTCCTGCAAAGCTTGTAATCACAGACATGCTGGGTGCGCCCCAGGCTGGGCACTGCCAGGCGAGGACCCTCAGCTGTGACCTCAAATGGCCCAGCCAGGGGCTTTCCCAGTGCAGGCCGCCCCCAGAGCTGCAGGAGCCCAGGGAGCCCATGGGGGCCACATGGGCCTCTCCCAGCACACAGGGCTGGGCCGCTTGGCAGAGGCCGAGACAGAGCTTGACTCTTGGGGGCCTAGACCCCTTGTGCACAGTGCAGGCCTAGGGTCATGTAGGGTCAAAGTCAGCTGTTAACTTGGGGTTAGAACCTAGGGCTGAGGGTCCTCAGAGTCAGGGCACAGGCAGGGGGGTCGTGGGCTGGGGACTTTTGGTTTGGGGGCTTCTATAGGGTCGCTATGAGTCGGAATTGATGGCAATGGGTTTAGGTTTTTTTGGGTTATTGGGTTGGAGTCACCGCGGCTGGGCTCACGGGGTCCAGGGTCACCGACTCTTGGTTTTCCCGAGTCTCCCCCACATTCCCGGGCCCCTTCCCTAGGAAGAACTCCGGGGTGTTGAGTGCTGGGCACCACAGCAGCAGGTAGCACTTGGGCAGGTAGACAGAAGCCAAGATACCCAGGGCGCAGAGAAGGATGGCTGTCATCTGCACTGCGGGTTGGTAGACCATGTTCACATTGGCAAAGAGAGGCACAAAGGAGATCCAGATGATGAAATGGGACAGCGTGGCAAAGGTGAGGCCGCGTGCGCGGTTGTATCGGCTGGGCTGGCTCTGTACCAGGAAGGTGCCCAGGAAGCACAGGAAGGCCAGAATGGCGTTAGTGGCATGCGCCAGGCCGAAGCTAATCCAGGAGTGCATGCAGCAGTGCACCAGCACCTCCTGGGGCAATGCCTGCCAGTCGGTCACCACCTTGAACGGGAAGGCCACCAGGTACCAGGTGCACAGTGCCGCCTGTGCCAAAACGGCCACCAGCACTATCAGCCAGGCCCCTGGGCCCCTAAACCAGCCCTGCAGCCGCCCCATCCAGCCTGGCGGCAGCTCTGACTCCACAAATGTCTCGGCCGCCTGCAGAAACAGTGTGCTCAGGCAGCCGGTCAGCGGCAGGTGGAACAGTGGCTGCTGCGCTAGGCAGCCAGTGGGGCTGGGCCACCCGGGGAACAGGAGGACGCTCAGGCAGGCCAGGCCCAGGCAGGCCAGGCCAAAGCAGGCCAGTGGCCCGCCGGAGGCCTGCACCATTGGGCTGTCCCAGTGGCGAACGAAGAGCCCCAGGGCTGCCAGTGTCAGGCCCAGCACCAGGCCCAGCAGCATAAGCAGCCCCAGGGTGATTGGCTCCCCCCATGCCAGGAACTTGGGCCTGCGTGGGAAGCAGCGGGTGCTCCGGTCCGGGGACCACTCGTTCAGGCCACATTGGGTACAGAAGAGGTCATCTGCAGGGTGGGGAGGGGAGAGGGGTGCTGGAGTAGCAGGCACAGCCTCACCCCTCCATGGGCTAAGGGGACACTGAGGAGCCAGAACAGCCAGGACCCCCAAGTTGTGTGTGCCTGCCAAGCCCCCAGCCGTGTGGAGGCCCCAGTTCACCTGGGCTGTGTCTGCCCACTGCACCCTGCCCCCAGCCATGTGGAGGCCCTGCTCACCTTGGGTACGCCTATAGGTGCCGGCCCTGCAGTCCACGCAGTCATAACAGCAGGAGTGGAAGCCCTTTACACGGCGCACCTGGCCCTCTGCACACTGCCGCGAGCACTGGGACACCGGCGGCTCCTGGGACAGAGCAATCTCAGCCTGCCGGTGGTCGCTGTGACCCTCCCATGCCCACCTGATGGGAGGTGTGCCCCCCATTGCCCAGTGGTGGCAGGTGCATCCCCCTGCAGTGCCCACCAGGTGGGAGGTGTGGGCAGGAGTGTAGACCTGAGTACCCTCCAGGCTGTGCTCCTATGGCAGCGTGGGTGCTGTGCCTGGGTGGCCCAAGACCTCATGAAGGGGACATGTACCCCTGACTCACCTGATTGCCCAGCGTGTGCCACTTCATCTGGGAGCGGTTGAGCCGGAGCTGGCCGTCGAAGATGCCCACAGTGCGGACCTCAGGCTCCTGGCCCCGCCACATCCACAGCGTCAGGTCATACTTCATATCCACGTTCCCGCTGGCGTCAAAGGATAGCTCCAGGTCTCGGGCGTGGAAACGCATGTTGTACATCCTATCCAGGAGCTAGGCAGGGGCAGGGAGATGGTGGGTGGAGCCCAGAGCCACCTGCCCACCCAGACCCCTGGCACTGGCCCTGCTCCTGATGGCTCTGTGTGTGCAGGTGGGGACAGGGGGTACCTGTGGCCGAGCGCTCACCTGCCAGGGCTGCACGGGCTTGCGTGCAGGGCAACCCGAGGCGTTGCAGCGAAGCGTGTTGTGGAGTGCCTGGGCCACGCTGTACACGGCTGCATAGGCAGCAAAGAACCGGTGGTTCGTCAGCCAGGCCAACAGGTTCTTAAGTGTGACATGATCACACTGTGGGCAGCGTGGCCCCACCACGTCCTCTTCTAGGCCTGGCTGTGCAGCATCCAGTGAGGTGCAGAAGGCTGGGTCGGCAGCAAGGGCCAGGTGGGTGGCCACATAGCTCCGGAACTCGGGCAGTGGGTCACTGTGCTGCAGGAAGCCAAGCACGGTGCCTACCTGGGCCATGCCGGGCACTGTGGCGACCAGGTCCGAGGCCAGCCAGGCCTCGCTGGTCACCCATACCTTGGGTGTAAGCTGGCTGTGGACACTGTAACTGAAGAGGGTGTGGGCGGCTCGGGCAGAGGCAAACAGCACCACTACCTGTACATTGCTCTGGTTGACTACCTGCAGAAGCTTCTCCACCTGGCCCAGCGGCATCCTGTGGCTGTTGGGCAGTGGCACCAGGCCCTGGTGGGCGATGCAGATGTTTCGGGCACTGGCCAGTTTGGAGAAGATGCTCAGGCCCTGACGGCCGTACTCATCATCACTGCCCACGGCTGCCACCCAGTTCCAGCTAAAGGCCACCAGCAGCTCCACTATGGCCCTCAGCTGCACGCGGTCACTGGGCACCGTGCGGAAGAAGGATGGGAACATCTCCCGGTCGCTCAGCCGGTCCATGCTGGCACCATAGCTGACCTACAGGCCGAGGGTCTCCATAAGGGAGTGCTACGTGGGGTGGGACAGGGTGGGGTGCATGGGCCAGGTGGCAGGCGCACCTGGGGCATGAGGAAGAAGCTGAAGAACTTGCCAGTGACAAGGGCGAGCTCGGAAGAGTAGGGCCCGATGACAGCCAGAACACGTGGCTGGTACTGTGTGTAATTGCAGTAGGCGGCGATGTTGCGACTACCCGCCTTGGCCAGGAACACCAGGCTGGGCTTCATGGCTACCATGGGCTCTGAGCACGTGTCGAACAGGTCGTAGCCCAGACGCAGCCCCGGCAGCAAGGCTGACCCATTGTTGATCTCATCCACCGCCATCTTCACAGCCAGTGCCCAAAGCAGGCCGAAACCTGAGAACCTGGGGCACGTAGGGCTGAGGGCACTGGACCAAGGATATCCCCACTGGCTGCCCCGGGCTGGCCTAGGACCCCAGCCTGGTCCCTGCCCCACCCCACCCCACCCCAGACTGGCCTGGGTCCGCAGCCTTGTCCCTGCCCCGCCCTGGGCCAGCTCTGGACCCCAGCCCCATACCTTTTGCATGTGATGCTCTCCGGCCGTGTCCTGTCCCCAAAGCCAGTGCCCTCAGCTGAGCTCATGGGGAAGAGCCCACCCAGCATGTAGTCGCCTTGCATTCTGAGCAGGCGTGACAGGCACAGAGGGGCCCCCACTGTGAGGCCCAGGAGAGCCAAGAGGCTGAGGCCCAAGGGAGTCAGGCCAGGCATAGCAGGTGGGTAGCCTCCAGCAGGTGATGATGTGCCAGGCAGAGACCAGATATAGGGAGCCCTGGAGGGGGCAGCAGATTTGTTTAGCAAAACCCTCTCTGTCCTCACCTGCAAAGCCTCTGGGGCCCCTGGGAAAGGGATGGGGGCGGGGGCCATTTTCATACTGTCCTGGCTGACCCCGCCGCAGGTTTGCACACGTGACAGGACTTTATTCTGATGCTGCTGCCGACACCAGCTGACCAGGGGCAGGCAGTCTCTGAGCATCTGCTGTCCATACCCCCCGTCCTGGAACCCCCTAGCAGACCATGAGGTGGCCCCATCTCAACATCACGCACATGGCCCCTCCACACCCAGAGGCAGCTGCAGAGTAGCAGTTAGCTGGAAGAGAGCAGGCTGGGAGGGTCTGAGGAGGGGGCCACCTGGGCATGGCATGCCTGGGCTTGTCTGTGGGGGCAGGTGCCAGCTGGCTGGGCCCTGGCCTGTTACAGGTCACTTCCTCTGGGGACAGACCTCATGGCTGGGCCTGAGGAGGGATCCATGCAAACGAGAGGGAAAAGGCCACAACCAAATGGGCCGCTGCAGCTGTTTGCACTGGGGTAGGGGCGAGGGGGTGGTGGTTATACCAGGTGCATGTGTGCCTGTGTTTGCATGCGTGTGTACACGTGTGCGCATGTCCTAGAGAGGCAGGGCCACGGCGGGGAGGTGGCCCAGGAGTTCCTCTGAGCCTCCGGATGTTCCCCTCCCTGACACAATACATTGGAGCCCAGGTGGGTGTGCACTGGGCCCTGAGCATAGGAGGAGCCTAGGGGGCGGTGGGCAGAGCCCCTGCGGGTGTATGATGAAGCGACCCTGCTGGGGTAGAGGGGATCCTGGTGGTCTCAATTCTGGCCAGCTCCAGCAGATGTTGGTGGAGGCTGGTCTAGGCACCTTCCCTCCGTCCCTCCACCCTGTCCTGTGGGGGAGGCCCCCGCTGTGCATGCACAGGTACAAACACAGGCACACATGTACACACATGCTCTATACACATGAACAACCAGTGCACACACGTGTCCAGCCACACCCCCCATGAATAACCATGCACACACACACCCTTTCTGCGTCAGGGAACACCCATCCTGGACACTTCCAGGGCTGCCCACCATTAGGCCCCTTTCACACCCCTCCTGATGCCCCCCTGGATTCTTACCCATTTGATGAGGCGGTGCCTGGCACACCCCAACACTTCCATCTGCAGAACTAGCTGGTCCAGTAAATGTGATTTATTCATACCGGAAAGCCCACCATGCATTACAATTTCCCAGGGTCAAGTCTACCCAAAAGCTTCACTGGTACGTCTGTTCCACGTGCACTGTCCCTGCAGCTCAGCATCATGCGCAGAGCCAGTGGGAGAGGCCACCTGCCTGCCTGGCCTAAGGACACCAGGTCCAGGACCCTCCATGGGCCAGGCCCAGGCTGACCTGCTGAACACTGTGTTGGGGGCAGCCAAGGGCAGGGGAGGGGACACAGCATCTCGGGAGCTGGGGCAAGGGGACACCTTGGCCCAGCAGCATGCGGCTCCCCAGGGGCCTTGTGGCTGTGCAGACCACAGGTGGCTGCCAGGGGAGGTGCCTGCTGTGTCCTCGGAGCTGACACATCTGCAGGGGGCACAGAGGTAGCTTCGGCGCCAGCTGTCACTGTGGGCCCCAGGCCTGCTCAGCACCTGCACGTATCGACTGGGTGGTAGAGGAAGAGAGAAGCCCATAGGGCCCAGACTGCTATCCAGAGGTCCCCTCAGGGCAGCCCAGGAGGCCTCATACGTGAGCAGACACAGGCTGCTCAGCAGCACATGCTGTGGCCTTAGGCAGGTGTAGAAAGGACACACACACCTAGGGTGCTGGAGAGGGGGTCTCTGAGCCCCAGTGACCGTGACTACCACTTCACAGACATGGGCAGGCAGGAAGACTGCTGGGCTGCTTACCCCACCTGCCCTCCCTCCACCCCCTGCTGCCTTTCTGCTCCCAGGACCTCTGTGAGCCCAGCGGAGCAGACGTCTGCTGGGACACCCAGGGAATGCGGGATGGCCACAGCCTGACCAGGACGGCGCAGAAGCAGATGGCCAGCATCTGCTTCTCTGTCTGCCCAGGCACGAAGGAGGACACAGCCACGAGGACACCATATGGCCCTGCCCACTGCACTAGGGGAGGTCCAGCAGTGCGTGCTCTGCATAGAGCTTCTGGACGATGTCATAAACACGTTCGAGGAAGGGCAGCGCCTCATCCAGCATCGCTATGGCCTGCTCGGGCGGCCCCACCTTCATGGCCTCCAGGAAGACCTTGCGGGTGGGCAGGGCATAGAAGGCCACGGTGACGGCCCGGCGTACGACCCAGGGGTGGTAGGCAGCCAGTGAGGCATTGTAGGAGTCGGTGCAGAGCGTGGAGGTATGGGCGTTCTCGGGGCTGGTACGCAGCCCTTCCAAGAAGAGCTGCAGCCAGCGCAAGGCGCGGTGTAGCCGCAGCACGGTGCGACAGCCTGAGTCGGGGTGGCGTGAACGCCGCTGCAGGTCCACCAGCTGGTGGCCCACCTCATAGGCCACCATGGACTGCAGGCTGGCATAGTGTTCCCCGTGTGGGCTGCTGCGAAGCCGCTCCATAATTTGCAGCTTTGCCACGACGTCCTTGGAGATGAATGCGAAGATGGCGCCCAGACTGTTCAGAAACCTGCTTGAGGGAAAGCCGGAGCTCAGTCTGCGCGTCCCAGGGCCCCATGCCCACCGGGCGGCAGGGCCTGGCAGTGTCTGCAGAGCCTCTCTCCCGCCAGGGCCATGAGGGCTGGAGCCCTACCTCTGACCCCTCTTCCCAAAGGCACGGGGCCCAGGCATGTCCCTCGAAAGAAGCCAGGTGCTGCCAGCCTTGAGGCCGGCACCCGGCTCTGTACCCAGTAGGCAGGCACCAGCCCGGTACTTACAAGCACCTGGAGGAATGCAGGGATCAGAGAAGGGGACCTTTGGCCAGGAAAGCCCCACCCCAAACCAGTTCCTCGCCATCACCGGGGCGGGAGGCCCATCTGGTGACCTGGGCAGCCGCGGGGAAGCCCGCGCAGACACATACTTCACCAGCCCCCACCAGCCACTGAGGTAGTGGTCCATTAGGATCTCCTCTTTCTCATTGAGGCACTGCTTGAAATTGACCATGACGACCTTCAAGTTGAAGTCTGTCTCCGAATCATCCATTTTCAACAGAACTGAAACACAGGAAGGTCCCTCTAAGTCAGCTCATTCTGCAGTGCGTTTTTTTTTTTTCCCAGTAGGAAAGGGGTGGAAGGAGTTGGAAAGAGCTGAGATCACACCCTCCCTGCTCAGAGCCCTGTAGTGGTGCCTACCCCCTAGAATGGAATTCTTCCCAAGGCTGGCCTGTCCGCCTTCCAGACATGCCATGCCACCTGCCCCTGCCTCCTGTCCCTGCCTTGAGGCCTTTGCCCTGCCGCGACCCTGCCAGGAACCCTTGTCCAGAGATCTCCATCTAGGTCTCCGCGAGGCTGTCCCTGACCACTGCAGCATACCCTCCCAGGCTTCCTGAGACCCCCCTGCTATGTTTCACTGTGGTGTGTGCTCTGGCCACGGTCCTAGTTACATGCTTATTCGCCATCTGTCTCTCACTACAGCGTGTGACTGATCTTACTGTCAGAGAAACACTTACTGAGCCCCTACCAAGGGCCAGTGCTATTCTAGGCCCTTGGGACCCATTCTGAACAGGTGAGCCCTGTCCGTCAAGGTGAAGTTCTAGTGGGAAGGATAGACAACAAGCAGTAAACACAGGAGATTTTGATGCAGCATGTGAGGTGGTGAACCTCACAGAAGGAGAAGCAGGGGAGCGAGGAAGGAGGCAGGGAAGGGCAGTTGGGCAGCCGCCTCCCTCAATCACTGTGGCACCCCCAGGGCCAGAGTAGTGGCTACAGTACCATATCTGGTGGACAGACATGGACACTCATCTTTTCACTCTTGCTGCTGAAATTGTACACGTTTTGTGCAGGAGGGTGGCAGGGCCAAAGACCTTAGCACACTCTGAAGACAGGCCCTTCCTCCAGCCCCAGGGAACCTGCCAGAAGTGTCCACAGGCCGGGGCTGCAGAGAAGGCACCACTCTGGACCCTGAATGCATTCACACATCACTCCACAACACTCAAGTGCCCACACAAGAGTGGGTGCCACTGGGCACCTCAGCCCGTCTCCCTGGGTGTGCTGCCCCACGGGCATCAACCTGACATCTGAGGCCACCTGCAATGGAGCCTGGGGACTCAGCCATATGTCACCTTGTGTCCAGGACAAACTTATGCCTGGGGGTTCCTATGCCCCTTGGTACTTAGAGCCCTGACTTGGCATCCCCCCGTTGGGGGGTCCCTGGCATGGAGAAGGCAAGCTGTGATGACAGCCCCAGCCAGGAGGACAGCTGGGTTCCTGTTCTGCTTCTCATTTGGTGGGCAGGTCACTCACCACCCTAAGACTCTTCATCTCTGAGAAAAAAAGGAGTCAGCACGCTCTGCCCTGTTCACTGCCTGGCTGCTGGGAGCGTCTGGGGGCGGCAGCAGGTGTTGAAGTCCTGCAGGCCCTACAAGTCTGGCTGCATGTCTGGCCCTGGGCGGAGCCCCAACAAGTGAGATCACTGTGTCTACAGGTATGGAGTCCCTAGAGGTGAGCTCACTGTGTCTTCAGGTGCGGGTGGAAGGTCGGGTCTGGGTTCAGGAGGACAGTGCCCTGACACTTTAGGTAGCGCCCCCCTCAGGGCCCTAGTTCTCTGTCCATTGAACAGATGGTCTCTGAGGCACCAGGGTTCCTTCCTGGTCAGCTGACATCTGGCCACTGGGCCTTCCTGCCCAGGATCAGAGCCAGCAGCCGACAAGGAGCTGCCAGAGAGCCTTTCAGAGCTGTCAGTCTGCGACAGGAAAGGTGGACAGCCTGCCAGCGCCAGGAAGGTGATTGCAGGGGCTCAACCAAGGTTTCCCAAACGGCAGGCAGCCCCAAGGTCAGGGCTGGGAGGGAGGGCAGCTTGGGCACAGGAGTTTGTGACTAACAGCAGGCTGGAGTCCTGGCAGGAAAGTGGGCAACCTGGCGCCCAGGCCTATGGGTGGGAGTGGGGCCCAACATTTTGGGTCCTTGTCCCGAAAGCCTGCTGGGAAGGGGGTTGTGGAGGTACTGGGCTGGGGCCTGCGATTCGGGAGAGTGAGGTCGGGGACCTGGGCAGGTCTTGCTCCAGTTGAGTGCCCCGGGATGGGCTTGAGGCTTGGGGCGGTGGTAGGGGGCCGTCTTGGAAGCTAGGACTCAGGCGCCCTCCCCGCCGCAGCCCTCTGGCGAGGTTACCCCCTCCCCGCTTCTCCGCCTGGGGTCCCAACAGCTGCTCCTCGGAGCCACGCCGGGCTCCTCCAAGACTCCAGACCCGCCTCGATCCGCTCGGTTGGGTTCAGCCCGACCCGTCCCGCCGAGCCCGGCCCGCCCCGCCGAGCCCGGCCGGAACCGCTCACCTGCACAGCCGCCGTAGCCTCCAACAACTCCCGGGCCTGCCCCGCCCGCCCTGCTCATCTCTGGACCGCCGTTGCCTCCCCTCGATTGGTTGCGGGGCGCCCAATCAGGAGGCCCGACGCGCCCGCGTTTCCGGCGGGCGGACCAAAAGATGGCGCTGGTGGGGTTGCGCCTGCGCAGTGTTTCGTCGCGTGCTGGGCTCGGTTAAGGCCTGCGGTCCTGGTGGTCCGGGGTCCTGATGTGCCGGCGGTGGAGTCTGTTTGGAACTAAGCGCCACCGGCTCAGTGAGCACCGAGGAGCGTAGCTCGCGCGTCTCTTGGGGAACTGGGGCCCGCGCCCCCCTCGGCCGCTTCTCTTCCTCGGTTCCTTCCCGGCTGAAGTCCCCGCGAGGACGCCGAGGGGGCTCAGTTGCGGCTTGTCGGCCCCACCCGGCCCTGCACGTGCCCCGAGCTTGGGAGTTCGCCCAGTGAAGATGCCGGAGATCAGAGTCACCCCTCTGGGTAAGCTTGTATCTGCCGTCAAGAGGGGCTAGAGGAGGTTGGGACTCGAATGGGTGATAGCGACCCCTTGGTGGAACTGCCCTGGGCCCAGCCACCCCAGGAGTCCTTAATCTGTTTTCACTATTCATCTTCACCACAACCCTGGGGGTTAGGGACTCTTATCCTGATTTTAGGGACTACGTAGTTGGCTCTCAGAAAGGCTCGCTAACTTACTCAAAGTCCACAGCCGTCACCGTGTTATTGTTGTTAGGTGCCATCGAGTCGATTCCGACTCATAGCGACCCTGTGTACAGCAGAACGAAACACTGCCCGGTCCTGCGCCATCCTCACGATCGTTTTTATGCTTGAGCCCATTGTTGCAGCCACTGTGTCAGTTCATCTCGTTGAAGGTCTTCGTCTTTTTGGCTGACTCTCTACTTTACCAAGCATGATGTCCTTCTCCAGGGACTGATCCCTCCTGATAACATTTTCAAAGTATATGACATGTAATCTTACCATCCTTGCTTCTAAGGAGCATTCTGGCTGCACTTCTTCCAAGACAGATTTGCTCGTTCTTTTTTTTCTAGTTTTTTTTTTTTTTAACTGTACTTCAGGTGAAGGTTTACAGAACGAAGAGTTTCTCATTAAACAGTAGCACACATGTTGTTTTATGACATTGGTTAACAATTCCACGACATGTCAACACGCTCCCTTCTCGACCTTTTTTTTTTTTTTTTGGTGAAAATATACATAGACAAAGATACACCATTTCAGAAATTTCTACATGCACAGTGCAGTGACATTGACTATGCTCTTCCAGTTGTGCTGCTCTTCTCACTTTAGATGAAGGTTTACAGAAGAAAATAGTTTCTCATTAAACAGTACACATGTTGCTCTATGACAGTGGTTAACAACCTCACAACACATCAACACTGTCCTTACTCAACCTTGGGTTCCCTATCACCGGCTTTCCTGTCCCCTTCTGCCTTCTAGTCCTTGTCCCTGGACTGCTGTGCCTCATTAGTCCCGTTTTGTTTTATGGGGCTGTCCAATCCCCGGCTGAACGGTGAAACTTGGAAGTGACTTCACCACTGTTCCTCGTTCTTTTGGCAGCACATTGCGTATTCAATATTCTTTGCCAACACAGTATTCGAAGGCGTCCGTTCTTCTTCTGTCTTCCTTATTCATTGTCCAGCTTTTATATGCATATGAGACAATTGAAAATACCATGGCGTGGGTCAGGTGCATCTTAGTCCTTAAAGCGACTTGCTTTTTAACACTTTAAAGAGGTGTTTTGCAGCAGATTTGCCCAGTGCAGTGCGTTGTTTGATTTCTTGACTGCTGCTTACATGGGTGTTGATTGTGGATCCAAGTAAAATGAAATCCTTGACAACTTCAACATTTTGTCTGTTTATCATGATGTTGCTCATTGGTCCACTTGTGAGTATTTTTGTTTTCTTTATGTTGAGGTGTAATCCATACTGAAGGCTGTAGTCTCTGATCTTCGGGAAGCGCTTCAAGTCCTCTTCACTTTCAGCAAGCAAAGTTGTGTCATCTGAATATCGCAGGTTGTTACTGAGTCTTCCTCCAATCCTGATGCCCCGTCCTTCTTCATGTAGTCCAGCTTCTTGGATTATTTGCTCAGCATACAGATTGAAGAAGTATGGTGAGAGAATACAGGCCTGATGGACAACTTTCGTGACTTTAAACCTCAAGGTATCCCCTTGTTCTGTTCGAATGACTGCCTCTTGATCTATGTACTGGTTCCTCATGAGCACAATTAAGTGTTCTGGAATTCCCCATTCTGTGCAGTGTTGTCCGTAATTTGTTATGATCCTTACAGTTGAATGCCTTTGCATAGTCAATAAAACACAGGTAACCGTCTTTCTGGTATTCTCTACTTTCAGCCAGGATCCATCTGACATCAGCAATGATATCCCTGGTTCCACGTCCTCTTCTGAATCTGGCTTGAATTTCTGGCAGTTCCCTGTGGATGTACTGCTGCAGCCCCTGTTGAATGATCTTCAGCAAAATTTTACTTGTGTGTAATATTATTTGATAATTCCTGCATTTGGTTGGATCACCTTTCTTTGGAATAAGCATAAATATGGATCTCTTCCAGTCAGTTGGCCAGGTAGCTGTCTACCAAATTTCTTGGCATAGTAATCCGGGGTCCCGGTGTGAGTGAGCACTTCAACTGCAGTATCCATTTGTTGAAACATCTCAGTTGCTATTCCATCAATTCCTGGAGCCTTGTTTTTCACCAGTGCCTTCAGTGCAGCTTGGACCGCTGCCTTCAGTGCAGCTTGGACCGCTTCCTTCAGTACAGTCGGTTCCTGATCATATGCTACCTCCTGAAATGGTTGAACGTCGACCGGTACTTTTTGGTACAGTGACTCTGTGTATTCTTTCCATTTTCTGTGGATGCTTCCTGCGTCATTTAGTATTTTCCCTGTAGAATCCCTCACTATTGCAACTTGAGGCTTGAATTTTTTCTTCAGTTCTTTCAGCTTGAGAAATGCAGAGCGTGTTCTTCCCTTTTGGTTTTCTAACTTAAGTTCTTTGGACATGTCATTATGATACTTTGTCTTCTCAAGCTACTATTTGAAATCTATTTATCTCTTTTACTTCATCATTGCTTCCGTTTGCTTTAGCTACTGCACGTTCAAGAGCAAGTTTCAGAGTCTCTTTGGACATCCATTTTGGTCTTTTCTTTCTTTCCTGTCTTTTTTAATGACCTCTTGCTTTCTTCACGTATGGTGTCCTTCCACAACTCGTCTGGTCTTCGGTCATTAGCGTTCAATGCATCAAATCTCTTCTTGAGATGGTGTCTAAATTCATATAGGTATACTCAAGATTGTACTTTGGCTCTTGTGGAGTTGTTCTCATTTTCTTCAGTTTCACCTTAAACTTGTATATGAGCAATGGATGGTCTGTTCCACCATCGGCCCCTGGCCTTGTTCCAGTTGATGATATTGAGCTTTTCCATCGTCTCTTTCCACAGATGTAGTCGATTTGATTCCTGTGTATTCTCTCTGGTGAGGTCCACATGTATAGGCGCTGTTCATGTTGTTGAAAAAAGTATTTGCAGTGAGGAAGTCGTTGGTCTTGCAAAATTCTATCATGTGATCTCTGGCATCATTTCCGTCACCAAGGCCATATTTTCCAACTACCAATCCTTCTTCTTTGTTTCCAGCTTTTGCAGTCCGATCACCAGTAATTATTGATGTATCTTGATTGCATGTTGGATCAGTTTCCGACTGCAGAAGTTGGTAAAAATATTCAATTTCTTCATCTTTGGCCTTAGTGGTTGGTGCGTAAATTTGATTAATAGTCGAATTAACTCGTCTTCCTTGTAGATATATGGATATTATCTTATCGCTGACAACGTTGTACTTCAGGATAGATCTTGAAATGTTTTTAAGGATGAATGCAACACCATTCCTCTTCAAGTTATCCCGCCCCCACAGTATGACAAACTGACAGATGCGTGGGGATAGCTGTCACCGTGGGAGGTTCAAATCCAGGCAGTGTTCTCCCCACCTTGTGGTACTGCTTCCCTGTGGGTTCCAGCTTCTAGAATCCTTTCCCGAGTGCAGCCTCCTTGGACTCTTAGGGCCGTGCTGTGAGGTGTTGGGGCTGTATGACATTCTTATTTTGGTGAGGACGCTGAGGCCTGAATCGGTCTCCAGCCTTAGGTTGCTTGGTTAGTGTGTGAGTGGAGGTCCTGACCTCTGTCCTGACTGCTCCTCCAGGTTCAGGCCCTGTGGAGAGTGGTTAAGGGATGGCCTTTGGGGTTGGATCCTGGCCTTCTAGTAGCTGTGTGATGCCAAGTCTTCATCTCTCTCTACCTGTTCTGACAGTGAGGCTGGTGTGAGCATACCTAATCTCAGGAGGCTCTGAGGTAAAGTGCTCACCCCCACACTTGGCACAAAGTCGGTCTGCAGCAGATGCTGCACCATCCCTGGGCAGTGGTGTGGGAGACCACTCAGAGTCTCCCCCACCTCCATGACCTCCCAGTTGTTTCCTCTGTCAACGCGTTTGCCTCGCCTTGCACATCAACCGATTCTGCAAGTCTTCTTTGCCCTCACCTCTCCTTCCTCACCTCTTGCTCAGCCATCCACTGCCTCATTCTGTCTTACAACCTCTCCACTCGGCACTGCTCACGCCAGGGTTACTTGAAGCCCCTCTTTACCCAATACAGCAATCAGCAACATTAAAAAAATAGTTTTATTTTTTATAAGAAATATACATGCACTTTTTTTTTTTTTTAATTGTACTCCAGGTGAAGGCTTACAGAACAAATAGTTTCTCATGAAACAGAAGTACACATGTTGTTTTATGACATTGATTAACAACCCCACAACATGTCAACCCTCTAACTTCTCAAACTCTTTTTTTTTTTTTGGTGAAAATACACGTAGCCAAAGATACACTATTTCAAAAATGTCCACATGCCCAGTTCAGTGACATTGACTACGCTCTTCGAATTGTGCTGTTATTCTCACTTAAGATGAAGGCTTACAGAACAAAATAGTTTCTCATTTAACAGTTACTACAAATGTTGCCCTGTGACAATGGTTAACAATCTCACAACACATCAACAATATCCTTACTCAACCTTGTGTTCCCTATAACCAGCTTCCTTGTCCCCTTCTGCTTTCTGGCCCTTGTCACTGGACTCCTGTACCTCGTTAGTCTCATTTGGTTTTACGGGGCTGTCTACTCCCAGGCTGAACGGTGAACCTCGGAGGTAACTTCACCACTGAGCTAAAAGGGTGTCTGGGGGCCACACTCTCGGGGCTTCTCCAGTCTCCTTTAGGCCAGTAAATCTGGTCTTTTTTTTGTGAGTTAGAACTATGCTCTACATCCTTCTCCAGCTCTGTCCAGAACCCTCTGTTGTGATCCTGGTCAGAGCAGTCAGTGGTGGTAGCCGGGCACCATCTAGCCGTACTGGACTCAGTCCGGTGGAGGCCTTGGTAGCTGTGGACAGTTAGTCCTTCGGGCTAATCTTTTTCTTGTATCCTGTTCTCTTCATTCTCCCTTGCTCCCGAAGGGATGAGACCAGTGGAATATCTTAGATAGTCGCTTACAGGCTTTTAAGACCCCAGACACTACTCACCAAGGTAGAATGTAGAGCATTGTCTTTATAAGCTGTTTCATGCCAATTGAGCTAGATGTTCCCCGAGACCATGGTCCCCAGAGCCCTCCGCCCAGCAATTCAGTCCCTCAGGGAACATGCACCTTTTTTAAAGTTTTAATAGGAGTCCCTGGATGGTGCAAATGGTTAATGCACTCAGCTGATAAACACAAGGTTGGAGGTTTGATTCTACCCAGAGGCACCTTGGAAGAAAGGCCTGGTGGTCTACTTAAAAAAAAATCAGCTATTGAAAATCCTACGGAGCACGGTTTTACTCTGACACACATGAGGTCATGATAAGTCATAATGGATGCTATGGCAATGGGTTTAACAGTGTTAAGGAGAAAAGGGAGCCCTGGTGGCACAGTGGTTAAGAGCTTGGCTGCTAACCAAAAGGTCGGCAGTTCAGATCTACCAGCTGCTCCTTGGAAGCCCTACGGGGCAGTTTTGCTCTGTCCTGTAGGGTTGCTATGAGTCGGAATTCATTCTACAGCAACGAGTATTTTTTAAGGAGAAAAGACTTACTCAAACCTAGGGTCCCAGAAGCAGCTGGGGCCACCCTCTGGATTCCCTGGGCACTCTGTGTGCCTAGTGCCACTCCAGAACCTGCCTCCTTCCCTGGGCAGTGTGTCAGGGGCATCTTCTGTATCTGTTCTCGCAGCCCTGAGCTCCTCATCAGTGAGCCCAACCCCACCCCCTAGGCCCGGCACAGACACCGAGCTTGGCTGCCAGGCTTCAGCTGTTGGCAAAGCTGCAGTGAATGTCCTGCCCCTGGTTGCCAGGACAGAGTGCACGCCCCACCCCTCCACAGCGTTGCCACCTTCACAGCCTTTACGGCAGCTGTGGCATGGGGTCCCCTCAGCCACCGTGGCCCCATCCCCTCCCCTGTTGCTCTCCAGAGGCCTCTGTGGGCTTCTCCTTCTCGGCCCCCATCCCAGCCTGCTCCTTTCCCACTGCCTGTTCTTCCTGATTGGGCCCTGTTGGTGCAGTGGTTAAGAGCTCGCCTGCTAACCGAAAGGCTGGCAGTTCAAATCCACCAGCTGCTCCTTAAAAACCCTACGGGGTATTTCTGCTCTGTCCTTTAGGGTCCCTATGAGTTGGAATCGACTTGACGGCAATGGGTTTGGGTTTTGCTTTTTTGTTCTCCCTGATGGTAATTTCTTACTGCTTCAGTTACCCCACATCTGCACCTGGGTCACCCCAAGGTCACCTCAGCACCATCAAAACAAACCCATCCTGCTCACCCATTTTCCCTTTGCCAGTTACAGCCACATAGCTTCCAGGCAACAGGCTGGCACCCAGCGTCCCAGGCGCTCCCACCACAGGTCTGTGCTTTGCTCCCCTGTCCTGGCTCCCCCATCCCCCAAAATCATCTTCTCAAGAGGACATCCCTGTGGTGGTGCTGCAGTGTCCGTGCCCCCACTGCCGCCACCCCCCCGCCACGCCCACTCCATCTCCACTTTGCTACTTGTGGCCGTCTCCGTCTGATGCCCTGGACGTGGTTCTTTTATGCGTTCATCATTCCTCCTTGACCTGGAACGTAAGGTCCACATGGACAGAGATTTCCCTTCTCTTTGTTCCGTCCTGAGTCCTGCCCTCCTATGTGTCCCAGACTCTACTCTCTACTTCCTCCCGTGATTGTTGTGGGTCCTGCTGGGAGGCAGGACGGCCAGGCTCTAAGAGCCAGGCTCAGGGTCAGAAAACAGGTCCTGGCGCATTGAGGGCTGTGTGCCCTGGGCGCGTCCCAAAACCACTCAGGTCCTCAGGTCCTGGTCTGTGAGGTACGGTCCTCCCCTCCACAGATGCCTCTGTCGAGTTCCCCTGTGAGCCAGGCACAGTTCAGGGTTGGAGATGCTGCCAGGAAGAGATAGACAGGCCCACCCTTGTAGGGCTCACACTCCAATAGGGGGCAGAGCAGACTTGTAGGAAGACCCCAGACCATGTGGGGTGGGGGCAGGGCTGCCTGAGGTGGGCAGGCAGAGCATGGGGCATGAGGCTGCCATGGCCTGCTGTTGTCATGGGCAACTGTGGCCCGGTCGCCCTATCGTGTGTGGTGCCAACCGTCAGACATTTGGGTGGCCGGCAGAGGGAGGCACTTGGGATTCCAGGAAAGCATCATCTGTTGTTGTCAGACCCTGCTAAGGGTCCCTTCCCTCGTGGGCTCCTCAGACCCAGGACCTGTGGGTAGGTGTGCAACCTGAGGTGGAGCGTTTGTGCCACAGCTGGGCGTAGGTACTCTGGCTGGTCATTGCCAGACACAAGGCTGATCCCCCTGCTTGGAGCACCCAGACCTTGGGCATCCAGGCCTCTGCCTGCTTGGGGGTGGTCCTGGGGAGGGCCCCCTGTCTGCAGGCTACCAAGGGCCTTGTGGAGGGTGCTGTGGCCCTGGAGCACCATTTTATGTCTGTTGAGTGCTGCACACTAACTATCCTCTGGCCTTCAAGGGCGTGAGCCCCAGTGGGCAGGCTGTGACCTTGAGTGGTGAGGGGTTTCCCCCTCTCACCTAGCCACAGATGGGGTGGTGGTGGGCATGGGCCCAGGTGGCTTGGAACCCCAGCCATTGCTGCACGCTTGCTGCCAGCCAGGTTGCCTCCCCCCAACTCTGCAGAGCTTGTGGCGCCCCCACCTCAGCGTGCAAGGGTTGTGCACCAGGTAGGGAGGCTGTGTGCATTCAGCATCCTGGCCGTTGCCCCGTCCCTGGGCCTCAGTGTCCTCAGTGGCTACAGGGGTCCAGCCTCAGACCACGAGGGCTCTTTCAGGGGCCTGGGAGAAGGTGGGGCAGGCAGACTGAGGTCTTGGGACAGTGGATAGTGCTCGGAGCCTGGTAGAGGGGAGGGTGGGACAGGGGTATGGGGAGAAGGCATGGTGGCCACCCTCACCACCCCCTCCCTGAGCAGGGGCCGGCCAGGATGTGGGCCGCAGCTGTATCTTGGTCTCCATCGCGGGCAAGAACGTCATGCTGGACTGCGGGATGCACATGGGCTTCAACGACGATGTGAGTCCTGCAGGTTCCGTGGAGGGTCCTGTCATCTGCCTGACCCTGTCACCCCTCGCCGTGCTCTCCCAGGCCTTGGATGGCAATGAGGCATGGGGAAATTGTCTTGGAGCCGCCTGCCCGCTCCAGTGTGGGGGTGTGCTGGTGTCCTGGGACCGGCCCCTGCTCTTTGGTTGACTCTTCACCCTGATGCCTGCCCTCCCGCCCCGGGCCACCTGCAGACCCAGAGGCCAGCCTGCTGCATTCTGACCTCTCTCCTTGGCGTTTCCACAGAGGCGCTTCCCCGACTTTTCCTACATCACTCAGAACGGCCGGCTGACCGATTTCCTCGACTGTGTGATCATCAGGTGAGCAGCACTGTGCCCGATGGGTCCCTCCTCTGCCAGCTGCTGGTGATGGTGCTGCATTGGTGCCCCCTTCCCTGCCGGGCAGACCCCAAGACAGTATTTTATACCTGGGAGGCTGCAGGCTATGGGCTGGTGGCCTGCCCGGGGACCCCTGTGCAGTGTGTGCCCATGGGCTGCACTTGGGGGTGTGTGGACAGGAGCCTGGTAGACATTCTCTGGGAGACCATGCTCCACCCAGGTTCCTCCTCGGCCTTCTGCTCGCCCTGCAGCCTCCGTGTTTGCAGATGTACACAGGACCTTCCCTCTGCCCCCAGCCCTGTCCCCACCTCCTGCCGCCCAGCTCATGTGTCACCTCTGTGGCGACTTCCATCCTGCCTGAGCTTTCATTTACGTTCTTTGTAAACCGTTGGTGCTTTGTGTATTGCTCTGCTAGACACTTAAACTGTCAGTTCCAGTAAGAGAGAGGCTTGTCTGTTGTGCTCACTCCTGCATCCCCGGTACTTAGAACCGGGTCTGCTGCACAGCCGGCACTCGGCAATGTGGGGAGGGAGCCCAGAGCTGGAGGGAGGGGAGGGGTGGGGTGCCCCAGGTTGAGCCCCCTGCCTCCTGCAGCCACTTCCACCTGGACCACTGCGGGGCGCTCCCCTACTTCAGCGAGATGGTGGGCTATGATGGACCCATCTACATGACGCCCCCCACCCAGGCCATCTGCCCCATCCTGCTGGAGGACTACCGCAAGATTGCTGTGGACAAGAAGGGCGAGGCCAACTTTTTCACCTCCCAGATGATCAAGGACTGCATGAAGAAGGTGGTGGCTGTCCACCTGCACCAGACAGTCCAGGTCAGGCCTGCGCCAGCCCACCTGCACACCCTGAGTCACCTGGGGGCCCGGCCGGCCGTGCTCACTCCCTGTGTCTGCAGGCATCTGTGGGCATCTGCACTGGGCTCAGCCCAGGCTCCACACTTAGCCAGGGTGGGGGTGGTGGGTGCCCAGGACAGCCTTGGGGTGGGGGCTGGGTCTCCAGAGCTGTGTGTGAGGGCCAGGAAGGGGGTGAGGGGTCAGATTTGGTAACATTTCCCCTAATCGTGGGTTTGTCTGTTTCTCCTTGTGGTCTGTGGGTTTTGCTTTATATATCATGACACATTTATATATATCCAGGTTTTGGATTATTTTGTTCTTCCGGTTGGAACTTTTGTCAATTAAAGTATGTCTTCATAATGCTTTTTGCCTTAAAATCTACTTTCTTGGTAACCTAGTTACACTGTTTTCTCGTTGTCACGTGTGTGCGGTATACCGTATTCCATCTTGCTATGTTCAGCGTTTCTGCATCACGTTTTAGGTGAGGCTCTTACAAGCAGCGTGTCATTGGGCTTTGTTTTTTACTCAGCCTGTAACTTGTCTTTCAAGTGGAGCATTTAGACTTCACGTTGAGTACAGTCCTGATACATTAGGATTTAGATATGCCATCTTAACCTTTGCTTCCTACTTGCCTTGCCTGTTCTGTTTTTTTCCTCTCTTTTATAGCCTTTTTTTGGGAATTTTTTTTCTTCTTTAATTCCATTTCCCCCTTTACGTGGTTGGTAATTACATGCTTTTACAGCTGCTCGCTGGTGGAGATTACAAAGCTCATCCAAGGCTTCACAAAGACTTAATGTTGCTTGGGACCTTCCCAACCCAGTGAGACATTGTCAGCCATGCCGGATAGTCAGTGCTTGCTCAGTTTTGTCCGTCTGTCCACCCTCTTTGTTGCTCCTCACTACCCCCTGCATTCTTCAGCCTTCTATTTGGAATGATTCACCTCCTGCCTGGAGGTGATGAATTCTCTGCATTTTCATTAGTCTGCAAATGTATTTATTTTACTCTCATTCTTGAAGGACTCGTTTCATTGGGTCTAGAATGCTAGGCTGGGAGTAATTTTCCTACAGTGCTTTGAATAAGTCATTCAGTCTGTTGTGAAGGGTGTCTCCTTCTCATTGGTGTTTGCAGTTGCTCTGTGATGGGCTTATGTCTGGTTTCTATCTTGTTGAGCTCAAGGTCCTCTGGAGTCTCGCTGGATGCCGGTCATCAGCTTTCTTCAGATGTTGCTTCTGCCCCAATCTTGCTCCCCTCTGGAGGCTCTGACTACAGAACTTCGGGCCCTGTCTCTCTAGACCCTGCATCCATGCCATGGTGACAGTGGGCTCTCGGTGGGACAGGGCCCCTCCTCACTACTGTCCTTCTCCATCAGGGCGATTACCTGCCCTTGGCGTTTCCATCCTTCTGACTGTGGAACCCTGGTGGTGCAGTGGTTAAGAGCTCACCTGCTAACCAAAAGGTCAGCAGTTCGAATCCACCAGCTAGCTGCTCCTTGGAAACACTATGGGGTAGTTCTGCTCTGTCCTGTAGGATCACTAGGAGTCGGAATCAACTCAACAGCAACAGGTTTGGTTTTGTCTGTCTGTGCTGTGTGCTGGATGTGTCTTTCGAATACATACTCCAGTAATTTTCTTCTTGGTTACGTATCATCTTCTGTAAATGAAATCCACCGAGTTCGTAATTTGGTTTATTATTATTGGTACTAGAATTTCTAATTTTTTTTTTTTTTTAGTAGTTTCTAGTTTTTTGGGTTTTGTTTGTTTGCTAAAATTCTTAATCCTATCTTGTATCTCTTTGAATGTATTAGTCATGGTCATTTTAAAGTCCACGTCTGATAACTTCATTTTCAGGAGCCCATTTCTTTAGTTTGTTTCACGTTTTTTATTCACATTTTATCTCTTGGGTCTCGTTGACTGTGAGTACCGGACGTTGTGTGTGAAAAGAGAGATGATGAGAGGTTCAGAGTGATGTGATCTGCTGCCAGCCCCACCATTTCTGCCTCCCCAGCCCCTGTGCTGTCTTTCTTCTCAACTGACCTCCTCCCTAGCACAGCCCACAGGTCTGAGCTCCGCCCTCTCCCTCCACAGGTAGATGATGAACTGGAAATCAAGGCCTACTATGCAGGCCATGTGCTTGGGGCAGCCATGTTCCAGATTAAAGTAGGCTCCGAGTCTGTGGTTTACACGGTCAGTGGAGGCTTTGGGCTATGGCGGGGCTGTGGGCTCTCGATGGGATGGGGCCCCTCCTCACTACCATCCTTCTCCATCAGGGCGATTACAACATGACCCCGGACCGGCACTTGGGGTGAGTGGCCAGTGCATTTGTTTCACCCAGAGGGCTTCTCCCCAAGAGCCTGGGTTCCTGGGGTGGGGGTGGGGGGGTAGGGGGCAGCACCTGAGCAGCCAGCAGGCACCATGCCAGCATCCCTTGGGCATCACCTCCACTCCTGGGCTACCTCCTCCTCCCCCTGCTCCCCACTCCCCTGATGCTCCTGGTGTCTGGACCACTTGTGCAGAGGAAGCCAGCTCCCAGCAGGAGGGGCCTGGGGGGCTGCTGGCTGTGAGTAGGGCTGGGGCCAGTTTGTTGCCCTTGACCCTGTGGGCATGTAGTGCTGCGTGCCTCCATCTGTTCAGCTTGAGGAGATGGGCAGGGGCCTGTGCTGTGGGGACAGTCTCTCCCATCTGTTCCAGGGCTGCCTGGATCGACAGGTGCCGCCCCAACCTGCTCATCACAGAGTCCACGTATGCCACGACCATTCGTGACTCTAAGCGCTGCCGCGAGAGGGATTTCCTGAAGAAGGTCCATGAGACTGTGGAGCGTGGGGGGAAGGTGACTGCTGGCCGGGGACAGTGAGGGTGGACCCCGATGTCTGTGGAGCTCTAGTCCCCAGGGGTGCCTGGCCTCACCCTCTTGAGGCACAGGGCCTCTGGCCATCAGACCCACCAGTATGGGTGGCCTGGCTGCTCCTGTGAGTGACCACAGTGAGTGCCGCATGGCCTGCTGTGCCATGGGTGTGGCCAAGGCTCCCTGCCTCACCAGCCCATCTCAGCCCACCCTGCCTCCCCAGGTGCTGATCCCCGTGTTTGCACTGGGCCGTGCCCAGGAGCTCTGCATCCTGCTGGAGACCTTCTGGTAGGTATGGCTGGGACCAGCCTGGCCATGTAGGGGGAGAAGGGGTCCAGGACTGCTACACTGAACAGACTCGGGTGGGTCCACAGGGAGCGGATGAACCTGAAGGCACCCATCTACTTCTCCACGGGCCTGACTGAGAAGGCCAACCACTACTACAAGCTCTTCATCACCTGGACCAACCAGAAGATCCGGAAAACCTTCGTCCAGAGGAACATGTTTGAGTTCAAGCACATCAAGGCCTTCGACCGAGCGTTTGCGGACAACCCTGGCCCAATGGTGGGGCTCTGGTTGGGAAGGTGTGGGCAGGGGCAGCCACCCTGTGCCTGCTGCTGGTGGGAAGGCTGGGGGCTCCAGGCAGGCTGGGGGTCCACACGTCCGCCTTCAAGGAAGTGATGGGCAGCTGGGGGCAGGGGGGTCCTGTGTGCAGATGTCTTGGGGAAGTAAGGGGCAACTGTGCTTGGGGACAACCAGGTGGGTCAGTGGTGGACTGCAAGTGGGTGCAGGGAGTCAGGTCAGGTTCTGTGCCTGGCTGTCTCTGCAGTGGATCCAGACTCCTAGGGTGTGCCCCCACACACTAACCACCCCCATGTTCACCCCCAGGTGGTGTTTGCCACACCAGGGATGCTGCATGCTGGCCAGTCCCTGCAGATTTTCCGGAAGTGGGCAGGGAACGAGAAGAACATGGTGAGGTTCCAGGAGGGAGGGTTCCTGCACAGCAGCCATTGTGGTGTGTGGTGAGACCCTGAGCCTGGCAGGCTCTACAGCAGGGCTGGTGCGGGGGCCTCCGCCTGGGGTGGGTGAAGTGGGCGTGTGGGGAGGCTGAGGCAGAGCACACTCCATGTCCCTTCCACCCCCTGCAGGTCATCATGCCTGGTTACTGCGTGCAGGGCACCGTGGGCCACAAGATTCTCAGCGGGCAGCGCAAGCTGGAGATGGAGGGGCGGCAAGTGGTGAGCACCTGCCCCACCCAGGGGCTTGGTGGGGCGGGTGGTACTCCTTCGGGTGGGCAGGGCCCAGTCTGGCTGCACTGTGGTGACACTGCCATCTGCCCCACAGCTGGAGGTCAAGATGCAGGTGGAATACATGTCATTCAGTGCTCACGCTGACGCCAAGGGCATCATGCAGCTCATTGGGCAGGCAGAGCCTGAGCACGTGCTCCTGGTGCATGGCGAGGCCAAGAAGATGGAGTTCCTGAAGCAGAAGATTGAGCAGGAGTTCCGTAGGTGCCAGATGGGGCGGCTGCAGGGAGGGCCTGCTGTGGAGGGGAGCTCACTGTGGAAGGGGGTGCTGGCAGGGCTGGCTGTGGATAGGGCTAGCCAGACCTGGACTGAGGCCTACTCTGCCCACCTGCCCAGGAGTGAACTGCTATATGCCAGCCAATGGTGAGACAGTGACACTACCTACGAGCCCCAGCATCCCTGTGGGCATCTCGCTGGGGCTGCTGAAGCGGGAGATGGCACAAGGTACACTGGGCAGTGAGGCAGGTGGGTGGACAAGGTGAGCTACACTGGGCAACGGGGTGGGCAGCTTGCCCACTGACAGCTGTGGTTCCTGCCCACAGGGCTGCTTCCTGACGCCAAAAAGCCCCGGCTACTGCAGGGCACCCTGATCATGAAGGACAGTGTGAGTGCGGATGGGCGGTCCCTGTGCAGGAAGGGGGCCCTAACCCTGTGTTCTGCGTTTCCTATCCCCACACTCCATGCTCCCTTACTCTGTCCTGCCCCACCCCTCTAGAACTTCCGACTGGTGTCCTCAGAACAAGCCCTCAAGGAGCTGGGGCTGGCTGAACACCAACTGCGCTTCACTTGTCGTGTGCACCTGCATGATGCCCGAAAGGAGCAGGAAACGGTGATGCGTGTCTACAGCCACCTCAAGAGGTGACAGCCTTGCTCCAGTCCCCATCCCTGTCCTGGCCCCAGGGTGAGGGCTCACCATGCACCTTCTCCACAGCATTCTCAAGGACCACTGTGTGCAGCACCTGCCTGATGGCTCAGTGACCGTGGAGTCCATTCTTATCCAGGCTGCTGCCCACTCAGAGGACCCAGGCACCAAGGTGCTGCTGGTCTCCTGGACCTACCAGGTAGGTGGCCACAGACAGGCAGGGCCTCCAGGGCAGCAGTGCTGGGTGCAGGCAGCGTGGGTGGCAGGTAGGAAGGCAGGGCCCACCCAGCAGCTGTCCCCTTGCCTCCCTGCAGGATGAGGAGCTGGGGAGCTATCTCACGTCACTGCTCAAGAAGGGCCTTCCCCAGGCCCCCAGCTGAGGCCCCACTAGGCCTGCCACCTCTACCTCTGCAGCTGAGGGACCAGGCTCCACTCCAGGACAGCATCAACACCCAGGGGTCTGGCTACTGTGTCCCCCTGGGTGAGCAGAGCCCATGGTAGGGCCACAGTTCTCTTAGCACCTGGGGACAAGGCCTGTGGTGTGGGTGCTCTTGCTGAGAGGGCACTTCGGCCTAAAAAATAAATGGGCTTTGCTACCTCTGCGCTTTTTATTTGTCTCTCTCAGCCTCCTGGGAGATGGGGGGGGGAGGCTGGGAGATGGGGGGGGAGGCTCCTGGGCAGTTTCCAGTAACTCAGACCTGTGGGGGCTCCCTTGATGCTCACTCCCTTGGGGGTGGGTGCCAGGCCTGACAGCAGGGAATACCCACATCTCCCCCATTCCACAATGGCACCCAGGTCGTGGGCGCTGGGCTCCAAAGGGGTATAGGGAGACTGAGGACACCTCCACATGCACATGGCTGAGACAAGCAGCCAAGCAGGCTACAGCCTGGTGGTTATGAAGGGGCAGATCCCTGCAGAGCATGGTGGCGCTCAGAGCTGGCCCAGCATGCCATGTTGCCCTGACCCAGGGGTCAAAGGTCAGCTGTGGCTTCTACCCTATTGACCTGCAGGGCACAGAGGCCAGGAGCCTTGGGGCCTGCTGGAGGCAGGCCCTAGGACACACTTGGTCATGTGCAAGGAGGGAACTTGCTCCTCTGTGCAGGCGCTGCCTCCTGGTCGCTGGGAGTGTGGTGGTCTGGACCCACACCCAGAGCCTTCACACGGGACCTCCATCCATGGGGTCCCTGGGCTGGCTGGGGGCTCCTCTGTCCCAAGCTCCTGGGCCTTCCCATTGGGCGTAGTCCAGACTCCCGTCTGCTAGGAAGATAAGAGTGCTGTGATAGCACTGCCACCAAGAACCCCATAGCATCTGTGCCCCCTCCCCAGTGAGGACCCCCCCAGGAAGGGTCAGGCACTGGGAGACACAGGTGGCCCCTCCCAGTCCCATGTCTCTCACCGAGGTCCCCGAGGCCTGGGTACCGCACTGCCATCAGGAACAGGCCATGGGCTGGGGCCACACGTGTCTGGTGCCTGCCCAGGGGGTCCCTACTCTCAAGGATTGCCTTCACCTGGGCAGGCGTCAGCACCCCCAGCCCCACGGCCACCAGCACCGCTGTCATCCTCCGTACCTGCAACACCAAGGCGAGGCTGCTGTGTAGGCCCAAGCCCCTCCACCCCTTCCCCCCAGCCCAGGACGGAGCCCACCTGCCGATACAGGAAGGACTGACTCTCGAACTCCAGGCTCCAGAACTGCAGTCCCCTGCAGACACAGGCACTATTATGTCCTGCGATGTCTGACTGAAGGCAAGCCCTCCAGCCCCGAGTGAGACTGTGCAGGGCGGGGGGTGGGGGGTGCGCGGGTAGATGAGGGCCTGGGCCAGCCGGTACCAAGTGCTAAACTCTGGGACTCGCGCAAGCTGTAGTCCCCATGGCTCCTAGGCCCTGGGAACCCTCACTGACCACCCCACCACCAAGTGAAACCACTGGGAGGGGAACTAAAAACGAAAACAGGCTCCTGGAAGGGGAAGAGGGGACAAGTTAGATTGCTGTGGGGGAGGGTGGCCTAGCCCAGACCACTACCCGGCCGGTCCCAGGGTTCTCAGGAGGAGATGCTGAGAGGCCGAGGTCCTGCCAGGCGGTCCAGAGCAGCTGAGGGAAAGCAGGCACCAGCTCATCTGCTGGAGACGGGAGCACACACCGGGGTGCTTGGCACGAGCCCGGGCTCCCCCTGCAGAAGTCCGTCCTCCCTCAGAATGGGCCCTGGCAGCTACCACCTGCCCGGAGGCGCCCTGCGTAAGCGGGGGCAGCGGAACCCACCCCTGCTGGGCTGGGCCGGAACCACTGGCCTTGAGAGCTCTCCCCCCCTTGGAACCTTTTCAGCAGCTGCCAAAATCCATCACTGGATTGCCAGATTGGGGCAGGGTGGGGGCATATAGAGAAAGAGAACATTCTCTGTCCTCTGTCCCCAGCCTCCCCGGACCCCACCCAGGGAGGCCACAGCTGCAGGCTCACAGCCATCTGGGTCACAACCCTCCAACTAGGTATGTATCTAGCCAGGGCTGGTGGGTGTCTGAGACCCTGGCCTCCTCTGGCCTCCATTCCTGCCCCTGCACTGCCTGCATGTAGGGCGAGGGGCGGGGGCTCCATTCAGCTCCCAGCAGCTTTTGGACCTGGCGCTGGTGGCCGCAGGGGCACAGCTGAGGTGCAGACCCTTCCTCACCTGTTCTCCTGGGGACTGAGGAAGGGGCTGGCAGGCCCAGGGGACACGGTGGCACGCCGCAGCGTGCGCACTGAGCTCTTGGCTGGGCTGCCGGCTGACTGGAAGGCACTGAAGTCATGCGTCCCCAGGAGGTGCTGGGCAGCTTCCTGCATGGCGGCCACGTCCAGGCTGCTGTGCGAGGAGCCAGGTGTGCAGTCAGGTGGGAGGGCCAGCCAGGTGGGCCTACCAGCCCCCTCCCCACTCTCAACACTCACTTAGCCCGCAGTGCCCAGCACAGGTTTCGTTCAAACACAGAGAGTTGATTTGGCCGGGGGCAGCCAGTTGCCAGGCGGTACAGGTAGGTCCTGGATGTGGCTGTGTGGCGGGCATGGAAGTTGCTGGGCACCCTGAAGGCCCGCACCACCCTGTGGAGCACAGTGGGCTGCACTGGGGAAGGACCCCACTATCCTGCCAAGGAGAAACCTCTGGGCCATGCCCACCACTACCACCAATCGAGGGGCTCTGTCGAGACCCAAAGTCTTTCCTGTTCTCCAGCCTGCAGTGGACAAAAGTCAGCCAGCCAGAGCAGGGGGACAGGTCACTGGGCATACCTGATGGCTGGGTGTCTCAGGTGGGTGTTGAGGGCCTCAGCCAGGACCTCGGGGGAGAAGGGTGGCTGGCCAGAGCGCCGCTGGACATCCAGGTGCGCTGAGTTGCTCAGTGCGTGGACACCAGCATCTGTGCGGCTGGAGATGGTAAACTTGACGGGCTCGACCGAATTCAGCCTCTCTGCGGCCTCCTGCCAGATAGAGTAGCTGGGCCCGGGAGGGCAGCACGGAGGAGGGAAGGGCCGGAGCCCCGAGGGCGGGTCTGCGTCCCCCAGGCACCCGTGGGGCTCCCATTTGACCTCACGAAGATAGCCGAGGTCTCACCCCTCTCGGCGTCCAGTGGGACTCACCTCCAGGAAGTTTTGGACTCCGATGGCGCGCTGGGCGCCCCTGACGGCAGCGACCCCGCTGCAGACAGAGGTGGGTGGAGGTCACTGCCGAGGCCGCGTAGTCCAGCCCCGCCCGCCCTCGGACTCCAAACAAAGCTGTTTCCTTCCCCCGAAAGTTCGGATCGCATGTCCGGAGGCGCACTGGAACGCGCCAATCCTAAATTTAGCGCCCCACGCCCCCGCCCAGGCCCGGGCTCCTCTGCTCTGGCTGCGCGCGGCTAGGCGACGGGACGTACTTGAAGGCCGTGCCCCAGTACTGGAAGTACACGAGGTAGCGCGCCCGCACAGCGCCCGCCGGGGCCGAGCCCATGGCCGGGCCAAACCGGGCGGAAACGTACCGGGCCGCACCGGCAGACAGCGCAAACCACACGTGGGACCGCGCGCGCACGTTTGGCCGCGCGCGCGCGCACGCACCGGGTCACGCCCCCGGCATGCCTGCGCGTGCGTGCTCGCCCCGCCCCGCCGCCCGCCCTAGAGCGGGGAGCACGGGGCGGGGCCAGGCTTAGGGAGCCAAAACCAAACCCATTGCAGTGGAGTCCGTTCCACTCATAGTGATCCCGTAGGACAGAGTAGAACTGCCCCATTAGGTTTCCAAAGCTGTAATCATTACGGAAAGAGCCTTGGTTGCGCAGCAGTTAAAGCGCTCAGCTGGTAACCGAAAGGTCGGCAGTTCGAACCCACCGGCCGCTCCATGGGAGAAAGACGTGGCAGTCTGTTTTTCTGTAAAGATTTATAGCCTTGGAAACACTATGGGGCAGTTACACTCTGTCTTATAGGATCGCTATGAGTTGGAATTGACTCGATGGCAGTGGGTTAATCTTTACGGAAGCAGACTGCCACATCTGTCTCCCGCTGAGTGGCTGGTGGGTTCGAACTGCCAATCTTTCGGTTAGCAGCTTAGCGCTTAACCACTGCGCCACCAGGCTTGGGGAGCGGGTGCAAAGTTCCGGCCCCCAGCGGAACGCCCACTACAACTACCCGATGATGCGCCCGCTCCTGCACGCAAGCACTCACTCCTTCACTCACTCACTCATTTATTCACTTCTTCATTCCTTACTCATTCACTAGCTCACTCATTCACTCCCTCCCTCCTCGCTAACACTCCCCCCTCTCGCCCCACCGCCCCGCGCGGCTTTCTGGCCAAATCCTCCTAGCTGTGGTTTTTGCAAACGCCCCGAGTTGCGAGTTGCGCAATCGCTGCGCAGTAGAGAGGATTGCTGCAGCGGGCGGGGGCGGTTCCAACTCCCCATCCACGGCTCGTGAAGCCGGTTTGCACTGGGCCCGCCTAACTTCTCCGAGTCGGGCGACGGGTCAGAGCCGGCCGCACACAACGCCTCAGGGAGGGGCGTGGGCGACGCTCCCGGGCGTGGACACCGGGCGGCGCGCGCGGGTGGAGGAGTTTGCCGACACTCCCCTGCAGTGACAGCGGGCGGCGCGCGCGGGCGGCGTAGTTTGCCGACGCTCCCTGGCGGTGACAGGCGGGGTGGGGCGGCCCGCGGCCTCATTCCGGGCGGTCGGGCGCCGAGCGAGACGCGGGCGGGAGGAGCGGGCGGCGGCCGGGCAGGCCGGGGATGCCGCTCTGCGCGCCGCGGTCGTGAACCAGCTAGCCGGCCGGCTGCCGCAGCCATGACGGTGGAGTTCGAGGAGTGCATCAAGGATTCGCCGCGGTTCAGGTGCGCGGGCTCGGCCCCATCCCAGCCCAGGGACGCGCGGGGCCCTTTGTGGCAATGGGGCTGGCACCCCAGCCGCCTCCCTCTGGGCACTGGGGTGCCGGACAGGGGATGGGCGGCGGGGGAGGGGGCGTTGATGCAGCCTTTGTGCCTGGCGGGGAAGGGAGCGGGTCAGTGCCGTGATGGGTAGAGCCGGACGGACCAGACCAGAGACTGGTAGGCTGGAGGACCCCGCCTCGGACAAAGCCCGCAGCCCCACGGCTGTGCGGCCCGCCCTGCACCCCGCTACCCGTGCCCCCCAAAAGCCCGGAGGAGCCGGAACAAAAGATGCCTCTTTTGCTTGTCACCTCGCACGGAGGATGTGCGCTGGGGGCGGGGCGCCGCTTTGAGGCTGGACCAGCCCTTAACCCGCATCTTTGTCAGGCTGAGTAGCTGTGGAGCAAGGCCACCTTTCTGTGGGAGTTTCCACCCCCGTGTCTGCACCTTCATGCCATGGCCACTAGCACAGCGCGGGGTTGAGCAAGAGGGTCTACACCCTCGTGGGCCCTGGGTCCTGTTCTGGCCTTGACCTGGGCCGTCTGAGTCCCAGTCTCTGTCTTGCTCCGTGTGTCTACAACAGTACCTGGGGGACAGGCAGCTGGAGCCAGACTGTGCCTGAAGTTGGCAGCTTGGCTAGGGTGAGGGCCTGGAGGGGTGGGGCTGCAAGAACCAACAGGACGGGAAGGTTGGCGTCAGGGTGGTTAGGGGCTGTGTCTGCCCCTGGGTGTGTGGATTTATCATTCCTGGGTGTGCAGGCATGCACACCTGTGTGCACCACATCTTCACAGGCATATGCACGAATGTGTACTCTGCCTTACTCATTGGACATTTAGCAAGTGGTAAGGGAGCACTTTCTCTGTGCCAGGTGCTGGGGTGTTTGCAGTTGTGCACCTGCTCAGATGCATCCTACCTGTGCTCAGTGCACACGTGTGAGCTCTGTCCCTCTGTGTATACCATCTGAGGTGCAAGCCCTCTGTTCCTGAGTGCATGAATGTGTGGGTGAGCTGCATAAGGCATGCATGACACACACGTATGTATGAATGATGGGTGGCTGCATATGCATGCACAGGCCACCTCTCTGTGTAAAACACGTGTGGTGTGTTTATCACACACATAGGCACTGTGTCAGTGAATAAACATGTTCACATGTTTATATGAGTCCCATCACTGGCACACATGCCTGCACATGTGTGCACTGTATCCGTGGGTACACACGTCTGTTCTGTGCCACTGCATGTATGCACATGTGATTTTGCATGAGCGTGTGTACTGCACTTCTGTGCACATGTGTATTTGGTCAGCATGTGTGTGGTGAGGGCGCTAGGGGTGTGCGTGAGATGGTGCTGGGTATGAGTGCGCCTGTACCTTGGTGATCAGCGCCGGGGCAGACCCCTGGATCCTGCCTCCCATTTGCCATGAAGGCCTCTGGAGGCTGGGGTGAGGGATGCCCAGGGTGCGGCCCAGAACAGCCCCAGGCTATGGAGCAGAGGGGCTGGGGGCAACCCTCTGCATTATCTCATTTTCTATCTGTGATGACTGAGGGGAGGGGGCCTGGGTAGCTCAGGCACCCTGTGATCCTGGGTACCCACTGGTCCCTGTCTGGCCAGAACTGGGACTGTATGGGAGCATGGTGGGGGCTTTGACCTGATCTCCTGATCCGAAGCCTCATGTTCCCCTTCCCGGTGTGGATGGGTCAGGGCTGACCCTGCCTTGAACATGAGGGGACCAGTCGGACCCAGGGAACACCACACCTCATTTGCCCTGGGCCTTCCCTCCCACACTGGCTTAGGGGAAGTACTGGCTGCCTGGCTGACTCCTCCCAGTAGGGAGGGACTGCCTGAGAAAGTGCCAACAGGGGACAGCGGGTGGGGTGGAGTGGGGTGGGGTGGGGTGGGGTAGGGTGGTAAGGATGATTCAGACCCTGGTCCCCAGGGCAGCACATAGGAGCTGGGCTGGGTGATTTAGGGTTGGGGCTGCCATCTGAACTGGGGTTGGAACCCATCCTGGGGTCACGTCCACTTGACCTCAGGTGCTGCCTGAGAGTGTAACTGGACTTTCCTGGCAGCGGGGGGGTATTTGGCCCCAGCTGCCTACTCCTGGCAGGGGAGGGGGTTGTGAACAGCCTGGGTGGAGCCTGACAGCCCCCAGACTCATGGTGGGCCAGGGTCTCTGACTCTCTCCCGGCTGCAGAAGGGAGCTGCCGTCGCTTGTTCTATGTGCCCCCTCGCCTGGGTGGGGCTTTGGGTGCTGAGTCACAGCTTTGGGTGGGTGGGGCGGCTGGCACCTCATCCCCTGCCTCCTCCTGAAGAGGAAGCCTTGGGTCTCTGGGGTCACGGAAGGGGAGAGCAGAGGGGCATGGGGCTCCCAGAGTGGGGCCGGTTTGTCCCCAGCTCCCATTGTGGCCCTGCTTGGAGACTCCCAGGGCCCCAGGTGCCCTTGGAGGCAGCAGCTCTGGGTGTTGACCACCCTGTCCCCCGCCACACTGCACTAGGGGGTGGGGGGCTCTAAGCAGTGGCTCCCTCTGGAGCCCCACCTCCTGGGCAGCTGGCTCCTTCCCTGCCCCACCCTCAGAGTGTCCAGGGGTGATAGGCCAGGCTGGGCTCACTGCTAGGGTGCCATTCTCCTGGCTGGGACGGGCCTCAGGGAAATCCTGCCAGGACTACCAGGCTCCTGACGCCTCCGTCTCCTCCGTCCCCCAATTCCCTCCCAAGACTCCAGTCCTCTTATCCCCTGGGGAGGATGGGGGCTGCTCAGAGAGGTATAGACGCCTGCTGGACAGGTAGTACCGTAGAAGGTCCCTGCTAGGGCAGCGTGGGGAGCTCTGCTGTCCAGTTCCTCAATCAAGGACGAGTTACACCCACATGACCCCAGGCCCCTCCCCTAGACTGAGAAATCCTAGGGCAGTAGTGGGTGTGGGGCCATCCCCCTGCCAGATCCTCTGCCTGGGGTAGGGCTACTCGCCCCAAGTTCTGCCTCCTGGGACCCAGCATCAGCCAGGCCTGAGCCCCAGGCCTTGTCCTCATCCCCAGGAGGCCAGATGGGCCCAGCTTGCCAGTAGAGCAGCTGTGGGGGATGGGGAGCAGCCGGGATCCTGGCCCTTTTTCCCAATTTCCTGTTCCTGGAGCCAGTGGGGGGGGGGGCGGTCACGTGCCAGATCCATCTGCCTTCCTTCCGGGGATTCTCTGTCGTGGCTTCTCCGGTGATGTCATATGTTAACTCTTCACTGTCCAAGTAGCCCATTGTCAGGCTGTCCTGGGGGCCATGGGCTCTGCTAATGCCTGACCTGCCCTTCCCCTGGGACAGACTCTGTACTACGTAGTGTTTTGAGGTTGGGTGGCCTGAGGGACACGCCCTCCTATAGCTGGTCTGGGGTTTTGAGATGCTGCCTAGACAGACAGAGCAGCTACTTGACAACCTGCATCCACAGGCCACCCACCTCCACACCCCATGGAACAAGCCCTGAAGGAGTGGAAGGGTCAGGCCCCCAGGGGCTGGGGTCATGGCCTTGTGTGTACTCCACCTTGTGTGGGGCTCCCTGTCTCTGTCCTCAGGGGCTAATGGCTTGTCTGACTTTCTGTCCCCAGGTTGGGAATCACAGCTA